CGCCTGGCTTAGATTTTTTGTATTTTAGTAGAGACAGGTTTCACCATGTTGCCCAGCTGGTGCAACTCCTAATGCTGAGGCAAAATCCACCCTGCCTCGGAATCCCACTTTGTGAAATACCTAGAATAAGCAATTCACAGAGCCCAGAAAATGCACTAGAGGTTTAGCAGGGATCGGGAGAGAGGAGAATGGGAACGCTGTTGTTTATGGCACAGAGTTTTTCTTTGGGTGATTCAAAAGTTTTAGAAATAGAGGTGATGGGTGCTATAATACTGACTAATCATTTGTGCCCAATTAATTGTACACTTAAATAGTGGGTTCAAATGGCAAATTTCACGTTATTTATATATATATGTGTTTGCCCGTATATATGTGTTGTGTATTTAACATAATAAAAACAGTGAAAAAGTGCAGAGGCAATCAATTCGTTTAAAAAATATCAATCTGGATCCAAGTCTTCTCATGCTTAGAATTCTTCCAGATTTTCCTACTGCATTTCAACGACAGTTTTCAGATTCTTCAGTTCAACAGATCTTTCATGACTCAGCTTCGTGTTTATCACCTCATAATCTCATAGCTCACCTCCCTCTACAGTGCCCCCTCTGCTCTATGGTGATCAACCACTCATTTTCCTGATCAGGACCGTATGCAACTACATAACCTGTATGGCCTGCACGGTTGTTCCTATTCCACCTAAAATATCTTTTCCACTCCTGCTCTGTAGACTCACTTCTTCTCTTCTGTTTTTAAATGTCATTTTATAGATACGGGTCTCACTCTGCACCAGCGCTGAATGCAGTGGCGTGACCATGAGCTCATGCAGCCCTCGAACTTCTGGGCTCAAGCGTGATCTTCCACCTCTGCCCTCCCAAAAGTGCCAGATTACAGGCATGACCTATCATACCTGCTGTAGACTTACTTCTATTTTCATTTAAAACTTAGCTTAAGGTCCACTTTTCCAGGAAGCATTTAAATCTTACTTAAATGCCTACTTTATTTGCTGACATAAGTACCCAGGTCTTATTTAGCAGTTATGATGATGTAATAATAATTGGTTTGTATCTTTTCCACTTGCACAAGTTTCTGTACCTTTGTGTCTCTATCTCTCCTAGTCTACTGACTGTCACATAGTAGCAACCCAATAAATGTTTAATGACTGACATTCCACAGATTCATCAAAGACCCTTTTAAAGAACCAGCTCTCCAGCCAGGTGCGGTGGCTCATGCCTATAATCCCAGCACTTTGGGAGGCCAGGGCGGGTGGAATCATGAAGTTGAGAATTGAGACCATCCTGCGCCAACATGGTGAAACCCATCTCTACTAAAAATACAAAAATTAGCGGCGTGTTGTGGCGGGCCACATGTAGTCCCAGTCTACTCGGAGGCCGAGGCAGAAAAATCAGCTTGAACCCAGGAGCGGACGTTGCAGTGGAGCGAGATTGCGCCACTGGTACTCCAGCCTGGCACAGAGTGAGACTCGTCTCAAAAAAAAAAAAAAAAAAAGAACAAAAAAAAAAAAACACACACACATATATACGCAAACACATATATATATAAATAACGTGAAATTTGCCATTTGAACCACTATTAAGTGTACAATTAATTGGCATCAATTATAGTCAGTATTATAGACCATCACCTCTATTTCTAAAACTTTTGAATCACCCCAAAGAAAAACTCTGTGCCCATAAACAACAGCGTTCCCATTCTCCTCTCTCCCGATCCCTTGCTAACCTCTAGTGCATTTTCTGGCTCTGTGAATTTGCTTATTCTAGGTATTTCACATAAGTGGGAGTCCGAGGCAGGTGGATTGCCTCAGCTTAGGAGTTTGCAACCAGCCTGTGCAACATGGTGAAACCCTGTCTCTACTAAAATACAAAAAATTAGCCAGGCATGGTGGTGGGTGCCTGTAGTCCCAGCTACTTGGGAAGCTGAAGCAGGAGAATTGCTTAAATCCAGGAGGCAGAGGTATACAAACAATTATTTTACATCATCATAACTGCTATAATAGAGACCCTGGGTACTATGTCAGCAAATAAAGTTAGGCATTTAAGTAAGATTTAAATGCTTCCTGGAAAAGTTGACTTAAGCTAAGTTTTAAATGAAAAATAGAAATAAGTCTACAGCCAGGTATGATAGCTCATGCCTGTAATCCTAGCACTTTGGGAGGCAGAGGTGGGAAGATCACTTGAGCCCAGAAGTTCGAGGCTGCAGTGAGCTATGGTCACGCCACTGCATTCCAGCCTGGGTGACAGAGTGAGACCCTATCTCTATAAAAATACATTTAAAAACAGAAGAGAAGAAGTGAGTCTACAGAGCAGGAGTGGAAAAGATATTTTAGGTGGAAAGAACAACCGTGCAGGCATACAGGTATGTAGTTGCATACTCCTGATCAGGAAATGAGTGGTTGTCACCATAGAGCAGAGGGTGCACTTAGAGGGAGGTGAGCTATGAGATTTGAGGGATAAACACGAACTGAGTCATGAAAGATCTGTTGAACTGAAGAATCTGAAAACTGTCTTGAATGCAGTAGGAAAACTGAAGAATTCTAAGCATGAGAAGAACTTGATCAGATTGATATTTTTTAAAGAATTGATTGCCTCTGCACTTTTTCACTTTTTTATTATGTTAAATACACACACACATATATACGCAAACACATATATATATAAATAACGTGAAATTTGCCATTTGAACCACTATTAAGTGTACAATTAATTGGCATCAATTATAGTCAGTATTATAGACCATCACCTCTATTTCTAAAACTTTTGAATCACCCCAAAGAAAAACTCTGTGCCCATAAACAACAGCGTTCCCATTCTCCTCTCTCCCGATCCCTTGCTAACCTCTAGTGCATTTTCTGGCTCTGTGAATTTGCTTATTCTAGGTATTTCACATAAGTGGGAGTCCGAGGCAGGTGGATTGCCTCAGCTTAGGAGTTTGCAACCAGCCTGTGCAACATGGTGAAACCCTGTCTCTACTAAAATACAAAAAATTAGCCAGGCATGGTGGTGGGTGCCTGTAGTCCCAGCTACTTGGGAAGCTGAAGCAGGAGAATTGCTTAAATCCAGGAGGCAGAGGTTGCAGTGAGCCAAGATCGTGCCACTGCACTCCAGCCTGGGCGACAGAGCGAGACTCCATCTCAAAAAAAAAACAAAGTGGAATTATATGATGTTTGTTCTTTTGTCTGACTTATTTCACTTAGCATAATGTCTTCAAGTTTCATCCATATTATAGCATGTCAGAATTTCATTGCTGTTTATGGCTGAATAATATTCCACTGTGTATATATACCATATTTGATTTATCCAGCCCTCTGTTGATGGGTTATTCCCACTTTTTGGCTATTGTGAATAATGCTGCCATGAACACTGATGTACAAATACCTGCTTTAGTCCTTGCTTTCCATTATTTTGGATATATGCCTAGGAGAGAGTTGCTGGGTTATGTGATAATTCTGTTCAGTTTTTGAGGAACTGCTATACTGTTTTCCACGGTGACTGCATCACGTTACATTCCCATGAGTAGTGTACAAGAGTTCCATTTTCTTCACATCCTCACTGATCCTTATTATTTTCCATTGCTTGATTATAGCCATCCTGGTAGGTGTGAGTGGTACAGTCTTACAGTTTTCAAAGAATCACCCTGGAAACAGCATGGAGGATGGTCTGAAGGGGGAAGATCCAGTAGGCAGAGAGAACCATGGAGAATAGCTCTTGCCAAGGATGAGGTTTTCTGAGCTTCAATCAAAGAGAGTGGCCCTGGACAGGAAGGGGAGGGAAAGGAAAGGACATATGACACACTCAGAAGACAGGATCAATAGGACTTTGTGATTGTTCATTGGGAGGAGGATATAAAGTGTGCCCACGTTTTCTGACTTGGGCTTCTAGATGGAGGGTGGTATTTTCATTCACTTATATTGAGGCAAAGATGATGAGTTGAGTTCTGGACACACTAAGAATGGGATATTTATAGAACCTTCAAGCAGGAAGATGGACATGAGGATTTGGAGCTCAGGGTGGAGGCCTGGCCTGGAGTTAGAGACTCAGACATCATTAATGCACAAAAAGTACTTGAACTGATGATGTGGGTGACGTCACTGGGAGAAGCTTATGGAGTGGGGAACTAGGGGCTGAGGATATACTCTGGGGGCGCTGACCTAAAGATAGTACAAGATGAGGGGAAGCCTGCCCAGACTATGTGAAGGCATGGCTCTGAAGTGGGAGCGGCACACAGAAATCAAAGGAAGCACATTTCAAAAAGAGGAACGCCTGACAAGTGGCAAATCTGGGGAATATTTTGAGATTGCATCTGCCTCTAACTTTGTCTTTGGTTAATTTAGAAGAATGCCTACATTTCATTCAAAATGCAGTGAAAATAGTTTTCAAGAAAACTTTGCATTGTGTCTGAAATTCTATTACTATAATGTAAGGTGCTGCACTAAGAAAATGTATCCCAGTAATGTGAATATTATTAATATCAGGAAGCTTATTAAAACACATTTGTAAAAATTTGTAAAATGTTAGGATTATAGACCAAATTTACTAATTATCTAGATTTGTTCTACAAACAAATGAACTGTTTGACTAACAAGATCTTGCCTTTATTCTATTCTGCCAGGGGCCATTAAATAGAAGGGTATTTGTATTTAATAAGTACAGTATATTTGAATTTCACCAAGGAGGCAAATTCACTCAGTGAGTTCATTTGCTAAAATGCCAATGATCAAAGCGAAAACATGATCTTAAAAGGTCAAAGTTTACCTTTTGAAATTGAAGTAATGTACATATATGTAGTCAGTGCTTCATATCTATGGGCAACCAATCAAAAATTGAAAATATCCAGAAAAAAAAAGCAAGTCTGTACTGAACAGATCCAGACTTATTTTTCTTGTTATTATTCTTTAAACAATACTGTATAACAACAATTTACATAGCATTTACATTGATTAGGTATTGTAAGTAATCTGGAGATGATTTAAAGTATATGGGAGGATGTGCATAGGTTATATGCAAATACTGTGAAGAGACTTGAACATCCACAGGTTTTGGTATCTGCGGGAGGTTCTGGAGCCAGTCCCCCATGGATGCTGAAGGACAATTATATATAATTCCAGACTATTAGGAAGAAAATTATTGACCCGTATAATTGTTTTCTGTTTATTCCTTTAAGATGACTAAAAAGAGTAAAGAAGCTGACTTAATCTGACCCTCTCTTTTGCCTCAGAGAAACTTTAATTTTATTTGTACCAGCCACACAACAGGCTGACAGTGGTGAGAGAAATGGCCAGGTATGGTGGAAGGCACACCAGGTCAGGTATGGTGGAAGGCCAGCCTGTGTTGAATAGTCTTTGCTTGGCCTCCTACTAGTTATAGGACCTTGGACAGTCATTAACTTTACTCAACTCCTTCATCTGTAAAATGGGGATAGTAATAACTTCATCACTGTGCTGTGAGAATCAAGTGTGGAAATATTTTTGATAAAGTACCATAAATATAAAAGCTCTTCTTGATTGAAACTGTGAAAAGGAAATGCACCACTTCATTAAGCATTAGTCTTTGTGGTCTTTTTTATTTGGAATATTTATAAGCATCTCTTTATAAATTTGATTAACTTTTCTATAAGCATTATCTTTTTTAAGTGGAAAAATATTAAAACTTCAAAAGAGTTCAACTGAGTAAGACAGTTCTAAAGTAGGCCAAACTTTTTTCAAAGCCTGAAAAATGTTCATTGTTAAATATCTATAAAGAAGGAAATTTGTTAAGATGAATCAGAAGCCTTAAAATATTTATCCATAAATTGTACTCCTAGGAATTTATCCTAGAGTGTAATTCGAGATGCCCACACCACAATATTCTTAGCCGTATTATTTATGATATTGAAAATATTAGATTGTTGAAATATCCAACAATAGCAAATGAATGAATTATGATTTAACTAATCAATGGACTGCCATGTTCTCCAAGAATATTTGCAACTATGCAGAAATATTCATGTTAGAATGTTAAATGAATAAGACAAGACATGAAAATTATATACTATGATCTGAGTTTTATTTATTCTATATGTAGAACACACAGAAATATCCACATGGTACCCATGCACCATGGCTAAGTTAAATAATCATTGTATGTATCTACATGTTTAGGAAACGCTGGAAGGAGACATGTTAGAATATTAACTGTGATTACTTCCAGATGGGATTATGGGTGGTTTTCCTGGAATTTTTCAAATCTCTCACAAAATGATACATTTGGAAATATATCTTTTAAGGTTACATATTTTTAAAAGCTATGCAGCCTGCATAATTTTTAAATGCTGACAGTCTTCTATCACCACCAATGTTTTTCATTTTAGTAATGGTCTGATGAGTACATTTCTGATGCTAGGAACTATACTAATGTGAAAATTAATATTATTGGCAAGAGTTTCCAGTTTTCAATATTTGTTACCATCCAGGTGGATTTTTAGGCAGAATAAATTCCTTTTGATTAAAGGTCTGGGATTCTTAATCCATTTTCAGGCTGTTGTAATATAGCTATCATAAAGTTTTTGGTTAAGCCATCAGTGATCTTAATGACTTTAATGTTAATTCTATGAAAATCTTACTATTGCTCAAGTTTGTCATGAGATCATATCCAAGTAATACACTAATTATTGCTCACTGTCAGTTAACATAACTTTTGTTATCCTTATGGGAATGGTGTTGCCTGTCAGCGTTAGGAAGAGAATGGTTCCTGTAGACAGCAGTAATCATTTCAGGTCATTAGGTGCTCAAGGGAGCATTTACAGCTAAGGATTTTATAGGAATTAGGATGATTGGACTTAATCTCACATCTGTTTCTCTCTCAAGAACGACAGATGAGGTATATGGGAGGATGTGCATAGGTTATATGCAAATACTGTGAAGAGACTTGAACATCCACAGGTTTTGGTATCTGCGGGAGGTTCTGGAGCCAGT